AGGCCACAGCTAGCCTGTCCGAGGCCACGCAGCCTTGGCATGGCCTGGGCTGCCACGTACGGTGCTAGCAGCCGAGGCCAGCCTCTTCTTTTCTAGGCTTCCGAAGGCGACGGCCCCCCTCAGACGCTTCTCGGCGCCTCGCAGAGTGCAACCTTATTGGCATTGGCATCTCCACCTTTGTGGGCTTTAGCACAGGCCACAGTTAGCCTGTCCGAGGCCACGCCTAAGGCTAGAACACCCATCTTCTTTCCGCAGACGGGCAACCACCGGAACGACACTAACGCCTTCAGTTACACATGCTACACTCCTCTTGAAAAGGGGTCGGCGGCACCCGGGCGAAGCCCTTACAATTTGGAATCACCCTTGCCTGGATTTTTAGAGCTGCCGCAACTTGTCTCCTCACCGAAGGGCAACATAGCTCAAGAGGGCATCATTGCTCAATGCTGAACATGTTAAAAGTGTGTTCAATTTGTTTGGTTTGCAAATGTCACAGCAACATCTCCTCCTGTGGGTGCGCGACAAATGTCCTCGCACCAAAGCCTGGAGCTTTGTTGCAGACTCATCCGCTATCTGACTGATGTGCCTCGGAGAGATGGCCATAAAGGCTCAGAAAGGGCTTTTGCTTGACAGGATTTTAAGGTCCGGTCACCTCGTCACATCTGCGACTCGTTCAGAACCGAATTCCATGCATCAAGCAATCCGGTGAACACCGGCCTAAGAATGCCTGAAAAGGCTAGAAGTGAAACCAGAGGTGATCCGGTCCAGTGTATATATCTGTATCTATATATATATATACTATTCATGTGAAAATATATATATATATATGAATTTGAATCATGTGAAACTATTCATACTATTCTACAGCTGTGAATTGTGATGCCAGGAAATTGAATCCTTCCATGTGGTTTTGGAAAGGGTTCTACTACTCGTCTATACTTAATATTATGTGTCTCTGTGTGTGTGCAGGCTGAAGCGGGGGGAAGTTAGAACCCTTCAACTCCGGGGCGTCGTGCGTTCCTTCAACGCGCGCCCGACATGGCGCCAACTGGGAATCCCAGCTTTCGCAACTTCATCCGCACGATGGCGCCTCGCACGAGCTTCTGAATGCGGACCGCTGCGCTGTACCTAGGGACGGGAAGGCCCGGCTGGGGTGTCACCCGAAAGCGGAACAAGGAACTCAATCCGACTGAGTTTTGGATGGAGGTGTGAACACTTCCAAGGGCTCCCACTCTACGAAGGCCCGGCGAGCTGCATAAATGACCTCGGATTTGAGGCTCCCACGGATTCAACGAGCAACGATCCAGCCACAGGGTATTTGAACAGAAAACCCCTGGCTGGTGAGTTTAAGGCTACCTCATGGAGCATATCTCAGATTCTTGCCCGAAAAGCAGCCTTGCGCTTGCCGTCGAGGATGCCTGAACTTGCTGCCCAAGTTTAGTGTGATGCACTAAGCTCATGAGTCCATGAGTCCATGAGTCACAAAGCTCATTCCTCTCCAGCAAAAAGGGGTACCGGTGATTGATTGGATGATCCTTTGTGATCCACACTTGGTGTGTGTGTCAATCGGCGCCTCTTCAGAAGCTTGGGCACCAAAAAACCCAACGAAGGTCGGACGAAGGTCAATCGGCACGCTTCGTCCCTCGCACGAACGGGTCTCAGGGACCCGGTGGAGAGGGACTTGCGACTCGTGCAGCTGTGCCTTCGTCACAGATTGACTCCTGGCAGCTCATGGTCACCCAGGGTCCGGTAGAAAAACGTGACAAGCAGACGAGTTCTTGTTCCAGGTGGTTCGGGGCAGCTGGGGTCAAAGTAATTCTGGCGTTCTTGTCATGAATGTTCGATGATGTGCATGAATCACATCCGATTCTCACCCTACCCACATAACTCCCAAAACATTATCCCTGGACTGGCAACCACTGCCATGTACCAGACCATGATGTATTGTAAGGTGGCAGGTCCTCTTGGCTGCTTGATCTGCTTGTGTTCTATTGTCTTTTGTTAAAGAAAATTTCTGCACTCGAACTCGGTCAACCAAGCCCCTGATCATATGGTCCCTCCACCCGTAAACAGCCTATGCAAAAGCCAGGTGTACCATGGTGTACCTATACAGGATCTGTCCTCCACATCCCGTTCCCACTGAACGGGATTTACACCATTCACGTAAGAAGAAACGCTTCAAATCACTCCCCTTTCGCCCAAAGTCTTCATGCCGAAAGCTCCTCTTTTCCCCTGAACCATGCCCTCTCAGCGTCAGTAGTACTTTGCCCACTGCCACTCCACATTCACCTACGAAACGATCGTCTGCCAGGACTCAGGGCGCTTGATCTCCTCAAGCCAGTGACTAACAATGCGCAAGATGCGCTCGTGCGCTTCTTTGATATCTGGAGTATCCTCCATGCTGGCGTGCGACAGCTCGCTGTGATGAGCTCCATTGGGCAAGTTGATGGCCAGCAAACCTTTCCTCTGTTGACTTGGATAGTTATGGTGATACCACGACGAGTTTGTCACAAAAGGCATGTTTTCTCCTTGGTCAATGCTTCCACTCAATGCTAAATGTAACCAAGAATTTTTATCCAAGGCTCTCAGTGGAGAGATCCTGGAGGATGCCACCAACTGACCAGCCATCATTCAAGCCATTCACAAAAAGGATCCGTGAGGTTTGACTTGCCAAGTTGGAGACATCAAATCCCCAAAGGTCGACCAAGCTCGTGGGTTCAGGTGAGGCTCCGAATCTCTTCCTGCAATGCTCCGCGAGCCATTCACGGGTCCAGGGGTAAGAAGGAAACATCTGGTGTTCGCCAAAACCAATTTTCTCCACCTCAAACGTGCACGTCTGGAAGTCCCACCTCAGAGACACCAGCGTCTGGAACAACGGTCAATGTGTTCGACTCCGGAAAAAGGCCAGATGTGACGGTACATTCTTTCAAAAGGCACCGGCCACTTCCTGTACATCTACCAGGCTGCCGAAGTTGTCCAAAAACAGTTTAGCTAAAGGATTCCCGATCAAAAACAGAGCTCGCCGAAAGGAAAAACGTTCCGCCAAACGAAAAACGCCATGTGACATCTGACCACTGCGACCATAGCCACAGCCAGACCAATCACCGCATCGAGCAGTGGCAGAGTGGCCAGCCGGGAGATGGCCCGAGAGGTCAAAACCTGGTGGACTGGTCGTTCGCGGACCCACGGTGGATGGGTCGGGCTGGTCACAACAGGCTCCCAGGTCGCTAAGTGAAGTCCGAGCTGGGAACATCTCCGAGGCCATTCTGTAAGACACCCATGTTTCGATGTTGGGTTCCTTTCAAGATAAAGAACACCCCTCTTTCAAGGAATTGCGTGGATGTTTTCTGGTTGCCTGATGGTTGTGATCTCCGAGAACCATTTTTGGACTTGAAACCCGCACTCTTCAACCTATTTGTTCCTTATTCGTGAGTCCAGGCATGTCCGGCCACTCAAAATTGAGAAGGCACATGTTCATTGTGGACTCCAAACACAAAAATCAACTAGTAGCAAGAAGCTACTAGGAACAAACGGCATCGCTACGAACGGAGCAAGGACGCTACGGGGGGCTCCTGGCCTTACTACTAGGAACAAGACGCTACTAGTAACAAGGACGCTACTAGGGGCTCCTGGCATTGCTACTAGGAACAAGAAGCTACTAGTAGCTCCTGGCCATACTACTAGTAACAAGAAGCTACTAGTAACATGCCTTCTCTCTCGCGTGCGATTTGGGCTTCCGAGCAGGTGCTTCTCGTGGACAAATGGCCCATGAAGCCCAGATGTGCTCGGCCACTCTGGAGGCCCTCATGCTGCAGCCTGGACCACCGATGGAGTCGAGAAGCACAGCAACAAAATTCGATCAAAACATATCAAAACACAAACAAAGAAGAATCTCGGTGGTGGTCCCACTTTGGGAGCCCCATCCTTCACTGGTCCCAATATGTATGGTCCTTGCATTTTTTCTTTGCTGTGATGAAACCGCGTCATGTTCCTTGGATGTGATGCGTTCGGATCCAAAAGGGTGCCTGGTCTCTTGCAGCAGGAGCTCTCGCATCGCCGTCAGCTCACTTCCATGAGCCCGTGCTTGAAGGAAGAGCTTGCACGTTCGGTCGAGGCCTGAGAAAACCATGGGCAGTGTGGGATTCAACGTTCGGTGGGCCTCTGTTCTGCTTAAGCGTATTCAGACTGTATCGGCTGAACGCCTGGGCCATCAGTCAAAACCACTTGTGGAGCGGATTTGACCCCTCTGGATTTGTGGGGGTTCGCGTTCATAACAAAAAAATAGGTCCTGCCTGTGCCAGAGTTTGGCGGATAGTTCGCCATGTTGAGATTCGCAAATGTTTGTTCTGCCAAAAAAAGCAAGTTGTCAGGCAACGCAGCAGGTGCCTGTATGGGCTCGCATACTGAGAACTGCTCTGCGATTTGGCTCGTGTTGGCCGTTCTGAAGAACTCCACCATCTTGTTGAAGGCCGCCTTGACTGCCTCTGGACACCCTTTGGTGGACCTCTCCGCAGATTCAGTCACCTTAGCATAGTAGTCATACTGTGAAACTTGCTGAGAATAAAACTTCAAAGGTGCTGATGAGGCATAAGCCATGTCTACCACAGCTGGATATCTCATGCGCATCATCGCAGCGAGAAAGCCCGGATAGGAACCTCCAATCACCATCACTGGACAGTATTCTTCCGTGCCACGGTCTCCGCACTGCCGAATCGATTGAATGCTCCGAATCAGCTCTGCAGCATCTGCCAGGGCTTCTTGCGTATTCATCGCCTGAGGCTTCGGGTGTATCCGCCCAAGAATCATGGGCCGGTTGAATGCATGCTCTTGATGCTACTCGTGGGAAAATGCTATTCAATTTTCATGGAAGATTGCAAAGCAACACAACTTCGCAAGCCTGGCAAAACACCATTCACTGATCAAGATGAGATTCTGCTTTCAAGTTGGCCACCAAGAAAGAGTCATTCCCAAATGGCAGCGACTCGCCATAAAAGCGGTGCTCTGGCTCCAAAACCAGGCCACGGTACTCTTTGGCCAGAGTGTCAATGACCCACGGATAAAAGATGCCCGTCTCGGGGCTGATAGCACCTTCACCCCCCATGATCACGAAGATTGGAGAGCCTGGCCCCGCCCAATGGGAATCTTCCATGTAATATCTCTGCTGAAAAGTTGCATTGGAGGACGCAAAATGGCTCACCCTCTGCTGGAAATAGAGTGGTTTCGAAGGCACTCCCAAGCAAATAGATAGAGTCCAAAAAAGACACAATCCAGGCAGCATGAAGCTCGGAAGAGCGCCCAAGGGCCGTTGAACTCTTTGAGCACTGCAATGTGAATCGTTCAAAATTTATCAATGTGAACCTCAATCCCGACCATGCACCTGCTGGAAACATCTTGGGAGAATGAAACAATGCTCCACGCAACACATCGTTTTGTGACCTTTCTCAATCACTTCGAAAGAAAGCCTCCCCGACCCACCGGGGTCCCACCAGACCTCCAAGGCCCTCTGGCGTCGCAGCTCCCAAGCCAGCTCCTGTCCCATGATCAATCGAAACCAAAGGATCCAACTCGGATCCGACCCAAAAAGAATGAACGGCCACATCTCCCTGTGCAGGTCTGAAGAAAGGGATCCAAATCCAAGGAACTCCCCAAATGGAAGACGTCTGCTTGGTGCTTGGAACCTCCCTTGATCGGTCCTTTTCTCCGGAGAGCACCGAAGCCCCGTTGGGTGCTTGGTACTCGTGGGGTACCCACGAAGGAATTGAGGAGTTGGGCGTGACGACTGGGGGATGACCGCACCGAGACCGGCTAGCGGTGTGACTCCGAGAAAGCGGTGTGACTCCACTGTGGCGCTGCCTTGAGAGTCCACTGGCGAATGAGGAAGCCTCGAATCCTGGCCTGACAGGCTTGACAGGCTGGAACAAATCTGATCACTAAACATGGGGTTCGAGGTACAGTCGTGTCATCATCAGTCTTCTTAATGTTAAGTTTCGCTGGAGTTATGATGAGTTATGATGAGAAGAGCCAAATGAGGCTTCCTCGACATTAGGCTTCTGATTCACCTCAGGCACTTGCTTTTGCAACGTGTTTGCAGTCAAAGGATCACAATATACAGCAGGCCATCTCGCCACCTCCGCTTGGTTGGTATTACCAAAATCTGAAACAATAACTTAGGATATTTATCAAAATTGCATACAGGTGTGTACTGGAAGAAGGAGATGTTCAAATCAAATGTTTTAGTCTATATGTCCTCTTCCAGAGGGTCTGTGGTGGTCTCCTTATTCTAATACAAAACCCACATCTTCCTGCCGCTTCGGCCTGGATCTTGGTTGCAGCCTGATGCTTCTTGCCATCTGTTGGAATAGGCAAGCCCATCTCTCGATGCGTGTCAAGCCTGGGCAGGGGAGCCTGTTGCATGTGTTTGTTCACCCTTCTGTTTGAACTAAAGTGCTGTAACCTTTTTTACTAGAACGGGTGTCTGCATGCATTTGCTTGCCTCGTGAGAATGAAAGGATCTACGGTGCCTCCCTATGGTCACAGGAAGTTCGAGACTCGTCCAACCAAAAGAAACAGGTTCTCTTCAATTGTTGAGAAAATGAACATCGCCGGTGTAGCCACGTTGTAGCCACGGTGTAGCCACGGTGTAGCCCGAAGTTTCAGGGAAACCCAAACGGATCCCATCGATGCAGAGTCGCAGAGCTCTAGAACACCCATCCGCCATCCACGGAACGCGCCTGTCACGGAAGACGCAGATGGCGCGCATGCGTTCAGGCCTGGACGTGTGAGGGTTCTGTCTTTCAGCGTGTTCAGAGAACACAGGCCAGCCCCAGTTATGGATGGGTTGGTCTTTGACTTGACCTCGGAAGGCCTTTGTGTGCTGGTTTCCGCACATCATTTTAAGGCTTTCGTTGGTTTTCGTGGAGTTGAATTAGGTACAACGAGCCAGCAAGCCTTGAAATGCTCTTGTGGAACACGCAGTCTGCAGCTTGCTTTTGGGATAAACCAAACGCTTGGCTGTCTCGCTCAGGCCCAAACTCCAAAGCGGTCACATCACCCTGGAGCTGCAACCTGGGAATTCGTAGGAGGCTCGAACGCTATACTCCTTTCTGGAAGGGATTGCCTTGAACAGTAGGCAGGATCGCGGAATGTCTGCACATCTGGATTTCCATTGACCCAGCCTTCGAAGATGGTATTCCGCTGCAGCAACCACTTCGGGCCTCAATCACACTCTCAGCTTGCAGCTCTTCAGCCCATTCTGTTCGGTCACATCCTTCAGAGTGGCAGAGTGTTCATCTCTTCGTCCCATCAACACCATCGTCCAACGAAGAAAAAGGAAGAGCTCCACCGAAAAGGCCAACGAAAAAGCCACCGAAGACTACTTACTCCTCTGCCCTGATACGTCACAATGCATCCCTGTCCGCTCCCCTTTGCCCTGAAGGCGCCGGGCGGAGCCCCAGGCCTGAAAAACATGCAGAGCCATCACTCATGGGCGCGAAGCCGCGTTTTGGGGGAAGACAGGCCAGGGAAGCGAAATGCCTTACCTTCCGACTGACTAAGATGGAAGTGGAAAACCCCCTGTTCGGAAAGGAGAGTAGTCGTCCATGGGGCCATTGTCCACTTCCATGTCAGAGCTCAGCTGGTTTGATCCCTTACTCCGATGCCGATATCTATCTCCCCAAATGATCAAATCCCATACTTACCTGCCAGGGATGGGTTTTCTTCCACCCCTTGGGAGATGTGGCAGCAAACACACTGGTGCTCCAAAGATCGGCTGAAAAGCAAGTCAACCTTGCCCTTAAGGGCTTGAAATCAAGGGTTGACCGTTTGCCTGCCTCACATTCAAGGGAAAGAGATTGAGGGCATTGTCCTACTTAAGCAGTCCATGCTGGGGACACTTGACAACCAGACTCCAAATCCTGAACGTTGACAATGAGGTCCCCAGCGGCACCCGAACACGCGAGGGCCTCAGGCATGCGGGCCTATGATCAGAAAGTCCTACAGTAAATGGTTTGTTGCTACTGAAAAGCAGGCAGCGTTTTCCACACCTATGTTCATGTCATTTCTATTCATGTGTTGGAGGCAACCCGACCACAAACCAACCATTGCAAGGATTCCGCCCAAATAGCCTCGTGCGTACTTGACCCTTTTCTTCAGCGTGACACCAAAGATTATACCACTCTGAAAAGCAACGAGGGTTCCAGCAACCTATCCCACAAAGGGAAAAGATCAAGTGGTACACCCTGAACCAGGTATACGATATTATCAATGCATCTTTCATCACCATGGCACAACAATGCGCGGCCGGAGCCGCCAACAAATTGACCTCCGTCCCGCTTTTTCGCTCCTTTCGCTCAGCCAACCCCAGGGCGTCCGCTTTTTTGGGGTCGCTCCCCCTCCATGCCTTGATATGGACACCAAGCACACAACGGTGTGCTGAAACAGCATTTGCTCTCAATCACTTCGTCCCTGCAACCAGTTTTGATCGTCACATCTGAGGCGGGATATCCAACACATGTGATGCAATAGCCCTCCTCCAACTCTTCTTCAGTCAAATACACTTGCTCACTCTGATCCATGTGACCGGACAGAAGCTTTCCAATACATGCTGCACAGTTCCCATAACGACACAAGCTAGGCATTTCAATGCCCTGCTCTTCTGCCTGCGCTAAGACGTATTCATCAGCAGCACACTCGAAACTCACACTTTCCTCATCCGATTGCAGGGTCACCTTGTATCGTCTCAGGGTCACCTTGTTCTCACGCGTGAAAACTCGACGGGACACACCCGTCCAGAGTCGGCGCTGATAGACGTCGCTGACTGTCCCAAAAAGAAGCAATACTTTGCAGAGCCTGGCCATGGTGCTCTCTGGATAAAAAAGGCTCGAGCCAAATTCAGAGAGCACCATCAGCTTGCTCGCTCAGCTTCTACATGTGTCCAGTCCAAACGCTCACAATCCTTTCTCCGGGTTCTGAGAGCCGGGCACAAGCTTCCCCTGTCATGTTGGACAGCAGTCAATACTCCACCATCTATGAGGCTGAGAAAACAACTGCAACCACCTCAGCTTTGGAATGCCAGGATGATTTGGAAAGCCCTGCGTTTTCATTCCAAAGAGCGACCAGCGACCAGGACGCAACGAAGCTTCCACCCACCCGAAGCCTCAGGTGACTTGATCTCGGGCAGCCTCACAAAGATCAGGTCACTCGCAAAGGAATTTCTTTTGACGGGAAAACGATGGGCGGAAAAGGTGGTAGAATGGAGTACCAGCTAGCAGCTAGTAGAAACATGTAGAAACCAGGCATCCGTCTCTTTTCGGTTCACTGACTCATGCTTCTCTACAAACTTCGCCAATTGGATCCGCTTTCTCACCAACCCCTTTTGAATGTGGAGAGAAGAAAACGCACTGCAAGCTCTCCGCTTCGCCTCAGGCGTGCATCACCTGCCCAACTGTTGCCTGCACGGCTGAGTTCGAAGAGGACCCCTGTCGCCCAAGTTCAGTCAATGTGGTCGAACATCTATGTCGCCTAGTTTCAATTATCCACATAGATCCACAACAGACACAACAGAGAACGACGACCCCGCTCAAGAATGGCGAAACGGCTTCTGCTACCTGCACTGCTACTGTTGAGTTCCTCTACCAAGCGACCATCAGCCTGTGGTACGAGGGCTACTCCGGCGCGTCTCCAACATGGGCTGGACACCGTGTGCCTCCAAGACAACCACTCACCAAGTGACACATCTCACAAGAAAAGGCTAGGCATCTAGATACTCCTGGCATTGCTTTCTGCAAGTTGCCCTGACTCTGACTAGTTGCCAACCAGAAAATCCCTTCTAGTCACCAGTGAATCGACGCACCTGCTGGCAAAGCATGGGCGAGCCAGCAAAGCCATCCGAGTGCAGTAACTTGGGGTGAGATTCCCACCAGCCTCACAGAGCGGAGCTGCTCAGCGGAGCTGCTCAGCGGATCATGATTTCGGCTCGCGAGGGATCAGAATGAGGCCCTTACCCAAAAAGATCTGAATTCTCCCTCCAGATAGCCACAATCAGGCTGTTCCCTGAAACACCCAGGCCCATCCCAAGAGAGTCTACGTGACGTGGACGGACAGTCCAAGGCTTCCTTCGACCTGAGGCTCCTGCGGCTCGGTACTTCAGGCATTGCCACTTGGTGCCTCAAGACCAAGTCCCTAGGCTCTGAGGAGGTAGTTGTGTTGATCCAACTTGGATCTGCTGGTGACTGAGTCATGTTTCATATCATCTTTCATATGTCGCTTGTTCATAGAACATTATTGCATCTATCATCGGGTCAGAATCTAAGAATGTGCCACTGACTCTTGCGCCGTCTCTTTGGACCTTCGACATCTAGGCTTCACTCAGGTTTGGAGTTGCGCACGCCAAGACAGGCCCAAAGTGTGGTTTTTTAGCTGTCATCCTCTGAGCTCGAGGCGTCTTCAAGTACCTTTGCATCTTGGGGGTCAAACTCTAGGCAGAGCCAACATCTGTCTTGAAGCACTAAGATATATTCTGTTTGTTAAGAGGAAATGCCAAATTGCTGTCGAGCTCTTAATTTAGTTGACACTGTTTTGCAGAAATCCAGAGCTGCAACTTGACCTGTGTCAAGGATTCCGTTCAACTTCACCCGAACAATGAAAGTAGCTCCAGCGAGTCTGCCAAATCTACACATGGGTAACCCCAACATCATGCTGACGAATATTCACTAAGGTCAAACCAAGGCCATCTATCTGGGTGCAACCCCTCAGGCTCGCTTTCTCCAATCAATCGTTCAAAGTCCAACCCAATCTCGGCGTAAGGAATCGCAAATCGTTACTACTAGTAAGGCACTTGTTATGCCAGGGAAAATGATTCTCACCTAAAATGACCCATGAATCATGAGTTCCCGATCCCACCTGGGCCGTGGCCTGAGCGGCCGCTCTGGTGGTGGAGGCTCCGCTGGCCTGAAGACCACAGGGAGCAAGGTGGAGTTGGCAAAAACAATCAAAGAAAGAAAGAATCAAGTGAAAACAACTGGACATCTTGCCACCCATTCCGTTGAAATTGAAACCGGAACATGCCAGAGCTCTTCGACATAGCTACCTGGCTACCCTGATGATTGGGTGATCATTGCTTCTCTGCAATGACATGAGCAACAAGGAGTTCACATGTAGATGGAAAGCAACCATTGCTTTCTAGTCACAGAGTGTCGTCTCCAACGTCGGGCCGTTCCTGTGAGGTATCATGACTTTCCAACCAGAGAGAGAGTGGTGCCAGAGAGCGGTGCCACGTGACAATTAGTCACGAGTCGTCCTTCTTTCTCCTTCGTCTTTGGCCGATGTTAAGCAAAAAGTTCTGAAACTTCTCCCAGCTCTTGTATAACTGCATGCACTTCTAGCATCGCTGAATCTGGGTTCTCGGAGTATTGGCACTTCGTGGCACTGAATGCAGTCCCCGTACTCGTACTCTTCCCGTTCCCGCTCTTTCCAAGCCCAACACGGCCTCCTACACCGCAAGGTGATCTGCTTGGCATGGGAGAGGATCTCTTGTGCCTATGCCCGACATCTCGGATCGACGTCGCAGTGACGTATCGACGCGGCCCATTCGCACTTGGCGGGTCCGTCCTATCCACACTCTGGGGTCCCCCGACCCGCTCTGAATCCGTTTCGTCCAGAGTGACCTTCCGCCAAGGATGTGCCTCGTGATCCTGCCACGAGTTGGGAAAAGAAAGATCCAAAATCTCCACATCAGAGAATTAAATCTGCGAACGACCCTCCCAACCAGGAGGGTCTTCAAAAGAATGTCAAACGCCCCACAATCCCAAACTGCACCATGGGGGGCTCTTCAAGATCCCGAGTGGCTCCAAGCGCTTCTTTCCCCCATGCCGGCCCATGCCCTATGCCGACACCTGGAAGTGCATGAAGATATCTGAAACCTCGAAGTTCCCGGCGCTGGTGCGAAACTTCTCCGCAAAGGCCTTCTGTTGGAGCCGATCCTCCACATCCATCTGCACCTGGAAAAGATGGAAAAAGCCAACGAGGGAGAAGACAAAAAGAAGACTCCAGAGGCGCGCATGAGTGTCTGACTTCCGTCTGTTCTTCTAAACCTACATGAGTACTCACCACAGCTGAGGAAGGTCTCTCACCTAGGAGCTGAGGCAAAGAAAAAGACTCTTGAATCCTGATGGTCCGTAGAGAAAGAGCTGTGTTTTGAACGCAGGGCTCTTTTACAAACTCTAAAGGAAACTCGTCTGTTCCTGGGACCAACTGGGATCAACCACTGAGTTCACCGGACCAACCGCTGTTGAGCGATCTTTCCATATTTCATCGGCTTGGGTGCGGATTCCCCGCCTCACGCATCTTCTTGGTCAGTGTATGCGACCTTGAATCGTGAGTCAATACAGAAAGCCTACCCAGATCTGTGGCCCCAAAATATTGGCCCAAAATATGATCCTGTCTTCAAAAAATGGTGTGTTGACCAATCTTGAAACATTCCCAAGTTCGCTGAGTGAAATGGACTCACAAAGGGGAAAGTCCAGACTCACACAATAGCTTGAACGGTTCTGTCAGCCTGGGGCTACGTCTCGTTCAGTTTCCGGGCGGCCACTTGCACAGCCTTCTGCAAGCACTGTAGACCTGCCGTCATGCTACACTTGACGGAAAACATGTCAACTGCCCGGATAAGCTACAAACCGAAATGCCTCCTGTGGTGAGAACAGGCACGAACCCCTGGATGATGTGAGCGAGAACGATAGACCCGATTGGCAGCTCAAGGCAGCGCTTTAGTTGTGAGATTAGGCAGAAAAATTGTGAAAACATATCTGAGACGCCGTTTTACGTGGGTTGGCTGAGAATTAAGGCCCAGTGCTTCAATAGAAACAGGCTTTGTCAGGAAACTGTGCTGTTCCACGACAAGACCACGCCTGCCCCACTTTGCTTGAGACGCAGGTACTCCACAAACATATTGTAGTGTGCGACCTCTTTGCAAGAAGAATGGAGGAAGAGAGGCATGCGGCTGTGGCTCCTGTGAACAGTTGAGCATCTAGTAGTTCCTGTCTTGTGAAACATTGCATGCAGTGGTGCTGAATGAGTCCCGCACCACAAGCATCTGTGAGGTCTCTGCAGTTTCCTAACACATGACAGGACATCTCTCCCTTCTCAACCCGCCGACACATGACGAATTGATGTAGATAGTTATTTTAAAAAAATGCTCCTAACACACGAAAGGCCTACACCTCAGAGGCAACTCGCCTAAAAAACCGAGAGATCGATGGGGTTTTTCCCACATCGACATGTTTGGAGCACTGTGGCGGTGCCGATGTGTCAGGGCCTCTGCTTCCCGCTCTCGGTCGTGGAGTGCCGCCAATGCCTCGCTGAGCACTCCAAAGCTCCAAAAAGGACACGGTCGACCCATGACTGTGCAAGACCCATACCAAGGCCTAAAGTTCCCTGGTCGGTGAAGCAGACTAGGAGATGAGGGAATGGAGGCCCCCAAAAAAAAATATTGATGTCAACTGTTCCCATGGCGTGAATTTTTGATCTTGGGTCGACGACCCAAAACTTGCCTTCTCGATCTGCTCCAGGGCTTCGACACTGCGACCTGCCCGTGGAGCTCGGAAACGCCCGGGCTCCCGGAGCTCGTGACGGGCATGGGCCATGCGAAGGGCAGGTCGCACACTGAACCAACTCCCAACAGGCAAGAACAGCCGAAGCGGGGCGTCTCACCTGTGGTGCTCAGGAGTACCGCATAGTTCAGGTATGTCCGCGCCTCGATTTGACAAGAAGCCGCATTGAACAAGAAAAGGAAACTACGTAGCCTGGCCGCTTGGCAGCGACATTCCCAGTTCGTATTGTTTTCTCCTTTGACTTCCGGTCCCATACATGCTTTAAGCGTGACACTCGGAGCACGCGCCAGTTCTTCGCTTCTTTCGGACCCATCAAAAGTCAACAAAAAGCTGGCTCAGTGATTGAGTGCTGAGCTGAGATTGAGGCCAAATTGTCACCATCTTTGTAGTGCTGCTCAATCTTGAGGCAGCGCTCGGCAAACCTCAGGAGGTTGGTGCCTTCTTCTTTAGGATTGACCTATGCAGGGTCAAACTGGGAGGGACGTGCAGGTTCAAGGCGGGCTCAAACTGGTTGTCACAGTAAAGCACGTTGTGGATGTTGTTGATTGACAAAACCCCTGGATAGGAAGAGGTGTTCAATCCTAATAGTTTGTTGAGCATGTTCAAAAACCAACCAAGCACCCAGCTGCAATGCTGCATTCTGCTTCCCACGGCTGCGGTAGTAGCCTTGGGCAAACAAACAAACCATCTGGACATGCTGCAAACCAGGTTCCAAGGCCGCTTTAGTTTGTCAGGTTGAATGGGTATGATGGGTTCGTATGTATGCTCTTCAAAATTGGCAGCGCCGTAGTGTGCTTATAGTAATATAGTCAAATTCATGTTGTTCGGCAGAAGTGCTCCTCCAGCCAAGCTGCAGCAAAGGTTGTTGAAGGTGACGGCTCGGAGAACCACTCGCCGCTGATAGTTCGGGACATTGTCAGCTTCCGTCATTGCCTCACGAGCTGACCATGTGTGTCTCGGAACGCTTCCGTGTGTCGCGAAACTAGATGTTGGGAACGGTCTGATGGACCGATTGTTCTTACTTCTGGAGTGTTACCTGCATTCGAAATGATTGAGGGGACCTTGACTTTGTTCTGGAGCAGCTCCGGACGCGAATTCGCACGCAATTGGCAGGCCCCAAGATCAGCCTCTGCTTTCTTGAGCAACTCCAGAGCAGCCGTGAAGCTACCTGCAACAAATGACGAATGAATTGCCCGTTTCATCTCTTGCAAACGGTCGACGTCTGATTCGATAACCAAGAGGTACAGTATGATTCGGAAACCATGATTCGGCAACCAAAACCGCTGATTCAGTAACCAGAACCGCTGATTCGGCAACTAAAACCGATGACTCGATTGAGTAACCAAGACCGCTGATTCAGCAACTAAGAGCGTTGATTCGGTAACCAAAACCCCATTCCAGCCATATGCTGCAAAAACTGTTTTGTTTGAATGAATTTCCACACCCTTTGCAACCTGAATTGTAGTTGCTGCATTGTCTGGCTTGGTTTCTGAATCGGCTAATGACCCTTGCAATTTGTAGAGTAGTAAAGAGCCTGTGCTTGGTCTAACTCATTGAAGCCAATCAGTAGTTAGACTGTAATGAAGGCTTTGCATCTATTGTGTTCGCCACAGACTTTGCGGTGCTCTTGATCATCTAAATGTCTCCTGCACTTCCAAACGATTTGCCGGATTTGACCGCCGCACACCCAAACGAATCTCACCCAAGGGAGCACGCCCCTCGCCTCTGGCGAGACATTGCACGCTCCAGTTGTTGCATGAAGCAACCTCAGCAGCTCAACGGAGACGGTGCTTTACCGTCTAGTAAACCCGGCTGTCTTAAACCATGACCATAATCTCATTACCGCTCTCCCATGTCACATGGACGAGAACCCCCGTTCACCCCGCAAATGCACGCCGCGAGGCGAATCCAGGAACGGAGACCAGTCTGATGCAGACTCCCAATGTGTCACAGGACAGGTAGAAAACTTTGACTTTAAAGTAGATCAGAAAAAACCACATGTTGTTCTTTTGTTGTAAATGATTTGATTTGTTAGCAAAGGATTGATTTGTTAGCAAAGGATTGATTTGTTAGAGGATGAATTACAGTACACATATACAACAATTAAAGTTAGATCATATGATTCACAAACAATTGCTTTCCAGGGGGGCCCGAAAAGTCCGCGAGCCCATATATATATATATATATCCAACTGGGATGGCCGAGAGGTGGCGTAGGATGCCCAAGTCAATC